ATATATATATATATGGACACGACCACATCTCTATAAGACTAAAAACATACACACAACGCACACACTCAATTAAACTGAATAAATAAAATCATCCTTGATAATGGGTAAAACTAGATCCCAAAACGCTCGGAATTATAGTACATTTGTACAGTTTCTACATACTTTGTGTCCAGAAAGGTAAGCACTTGTTCGAATGCAAGAAAAATCAAATAAAAAGCTTAATCGCAGCACCGTGTGTGTCTTCTTTAATGAAACAATATATATATGTGTGTATGGTTTTGTGTGTGTGTGTGTGTGTTCTTATATTTGTTCATAATGAGTAAACCGCTTCGTCATAGTGGCATTGTTAATGATTTCAACCCAAGCATGTCAACAATGCCACTAAGGTGAAGGGGATTAATGATTATAAGATAATATGAGAACAAGGAAATATTATTAAGGAGCAAGCAGAATATAAGGCCGGCAATTAAGAAGACAGCAATTAACGACTGAATATAGCATTTACTATTTTGAGGATCGCATTTGTCTGGAAAAAAAACTGAAGCTAATGACACAACGAGAGAAGTGCAATAGAAGACAAAGTTAGCATAGAACGTTTATATCTTGACATTTCAAGGCAGATGATATTGTTGTCCCAACGAGAGAAAAGTGTGTATTTTGAATAGAGAAATTTTTAATGTGGATTTCTTAAATATATTATAATTTATTTTCTATATTTTTCCTACACGCGTTTCGGGTCTTGTGAACGGCATGAGGCAAAGAATGGTTATTTTCACATATTATTTAAAGAAATTAATTTTCTTATGTTGTTTTTTTTTTTACCATTGTCTTTTGCGTATAGTACTAGTACTAGTGCAAACTCATCTAGAACTGGCGGAAGAATGTTCCTTTACTTACGGTGTACATTAGAATTGGCCAGAGAAAGGAGAAAGGATGAGGTCTTTGTCCTTATATATTTATGTCCTTGTGTATCTCTTCAGACCTTCTCCCATTCTTTTATACTGTGTGTAAGAATGTGTGTATTTCTTAGTATGCGGATATAAATATTAATTCTCAGGAAATAGTATATATATATATATATATATATATATATATATATATATATATATATATATATATATATATAGTAGCGTCCAAAACTAAGTGACAAAATTTTAAAACCTAATATTTGTTAGAAATAACAACTGTGAAAAGCTGAAGTTTTGACAACTGGTAGTCGTTATCATCCATAATTACATACTAAAATTTGAATCATTTGCAAAGGATGGAAAAGAATTATAACAATTATTATTTATTTTCAAAATAGGATCGTCCAAAAGTAAGGGACAAAATTGAGAAAAACAATATAAACAGTATGCTATATTCAAATTGTTTGATTTCATTTAAAGAATAAGTCTATTATTAATATATTATGTATTCTGTTTAGGGTTTGTGAGTGAGTGAGTGAGTGAGTGTGTGTGTGTGTGTACGTGTATGTCTAATGTGTTTTTTCCATTATGTGTGTATATATTCTTTCTACATACATATATATTATATATTATGTCATCATAACGAAATCTATACATTAACTACATGTATTTTGAATGGTGTGTTTGTGGTTCGACTGGTGTATTTTGCCACTGAGTGTATATGTTGCATGCTTATGAATGTGGGTTCTGATTTCTTCAGTGCTGGTTTAAATTTAAACTATCTTTCTTGTATTTATAGGTAAGGGTAATCGTCTGCTTGATATTTCAGCATAATTTTAAATTTATCTTTTTTTGCATTTGTGGATGTGTTGTGATGCAAAAAAGTTTTCTGTTGTCTGGCAATTTGATATTGCTTTTGTGTAGAGAAACTCTGTTATTTAGTGCTTTAGTGATACCTATATAGGATTTCTTGCATTTTGTGTACGTGAGTGCATAAATCACATTTTTCGAGTTATAGTTTAAGATTTTTTTTTATTGTGAATGTTGTGGGGTTTTCAAGAGGGAATGAGTTTCCTTCTATAATGATATCACAAACTCCACTTCTTTTCTTGTTGCATTTTACGACCATCATGTATTGTGTGTTGATTTAATTTGGATGTGTTTAATAAGTGATTTAGGGTTTTTGATTGGCGTTTGTTTTTAATTATTTTGGTTGTTTTTAGTATATCTTTCATTTTACCATTCTTGTTAAGTAGGTCCCGATTTCTTGTTATTTCTGTAAATAGTTCGGAATTGTTCTAGTATGTTGCGACGTATGCTAGAAAGACTTCCTTCTTGAGTTTCCTTGGATTTCTTAGTTGTTCTAAAGCTATTGTTCTGCTAGGTCAAAACCCTAAAGGCAAATTGATTACTAAACATGTAACTTCTGATCCGTTTGTTATACAATATTTTGCTATGCTCAATTAATTAATGTAATCTTTGTTAATATATCTTTTAATATTTCTCCCTTGCTTGTTTATATCAATATCCCATCTCTTCCCAATCGACAATGCGCAACACATTTGTCGCAAAACGACAAAAGGTATGAGTTTATCAACATTTCAAACTTGGGAAAGAATTTGCTGTTTTTTTTTTATTATTTTCTTCCAACACCATTGAATTCTTTTTTGAAGAAATAATTGTCATTTAATTCTTCGAAGATAAGTGACTATTCTTAAGAAAACTAGAGATTAAATACCAGAATTTTCAAATCAAATATTATATTATGTTTATACAAAATACGTGATGTTTGAATTTGGTAGTGGCGGGAATCTTCGTTTTAAAATTTTGATAGAATATAGCATGGATTAAAAAAAAATGTCGGAAATTAATCCAATAATGCCCACGTTCCCGATTTTGCAATGGTCATGCAGAAGGGTGTACGCTTATGTTTTATACATTGCACAAAAGCATTTGATACGGAAAAAACAGAAGGATCTATTTGAAGAGTAGTTTGATTTGGAAAAAAATTGTAATAATACGGAATTTATACCAGGAGAAACCACCTGAATATGGATAGAAAATGAATTGATACAGAAAAATAGAGTGGGGCCAACGTTGCGTCTTATCTACAGATGTATTCAACAACAACAGTGAGGCTATTGAAAGGGAGCGTGAAACACTAAGGGGATTTATTTTCGGTGGTTGTAATCTTAAAAAGAATATTAGATACGCAGATGACAATTGTTGATGGCTGACAGGAATGCCTAGACAGAGTAGTAAAAGAAAAGCGAAAGAGTAAAAAAAAAAAAAGGACTATCAAAATGTAAAAAGACAGGAAGTACGTTTATCCTTTAGAGAAAAAAGCCCAAGGTGTGAACCATGAATTGTAGATGTCAGCATCAAACGAGTACAGCAGTTTAAATACCTTGAAAATATTTTAAACGGCGATGAAAAATACGATAACGAACGCGTATTGGACTAGCAAAATATCTATTTCAAATGCTAAACGTTACTGATAAATAGAAAAAAAATCGTTAGAAAAAAGAAAAGAGTGATGAATTGCTATGTGATATGCCTCCGCTTGTACGACAGTGAATGCTAGACAATTAAACCGCAGTTGATGAGAAAACTGGAGAAAACTGGAGACAGCATGAATGTGGTTCTACAGAAGAATATTGGGAATGTCATGGAAGGAGTGAATAATCAATGATAGAGTTGTAAAGAAAATACTAACAAAACGAACACTGTTAATCAGAATCAAAAAGAGACAGGTATAATTCATTGAACTCAGAATGAAGAAGAGCATATTAGCAAACTTAAACATTACAGGATATATTTAGAGCAAGAAAGATGGAGGAAGCCAGCAACCTACCTACATGACGAACTCGAGTGAATGTATAGCAGAAATGGAGACGGCTGGCATGGCAAATGGAGCAAAACTGCTAAGGGTCCCGAAGGATAGAAAGTTATGGAATTCAATGAATACCCACGTCCTGGAGGAACACGGTTCACAGAAGAAGATGAAAAAAACTTTAAGAGTGTATACTTATATTCGTGTGCGGCCGAGCAGTTAGAATATTTTCTTTCTGACCATTATACCCGGGTTCGAATCCCACAAAGGCTTTTTTGTCAATGTATACCAATTAATATTGGCTTGGGGAGAGGATCACGGGGGAGGGAACCAGTGGAAAATGTCTGAAAATTCTATGACGGCATGACCTACATTGAATGACATTTTGTAGAGGAAAAAGTTGGGAAGCTGTCGATGGTTGTGCTAACACGAAGTCACAAGTCATCGTGACCGAGGTTTTGAGAATATGACTCTTGTTCATTCTGCCAAATTAATGAAATAGTTTTAAATGGGATATTTGTAAATAAAAACAAAGTACATAGAACTCGTTAAAAGTAGCGATCGATTTGTCTATATATTTATATCATGAACAAATAGCGCGGGTAGAATGAGGTCAAAACTGTCCTACAAAATCTATTCCCCATCCGGAAATTTTCCCGCTTTCTCGGTATAAGCGGACCACTCAATTTAAGTAGTACCTCAAAGATCTTGCCATATAGTTAGTAATGTCTGTATGAATGTGTTTGATTGTTGGTTGATGTTTCCACGTGTATTTGTACATATATATGCTTTTGTGCGTTATACTAGTTTTGCTAGTCAACGTATATCGAAAATTCTTTGTGCTGAAAGGAAGAATGAGTATCGTAAAAGAAAAAAAATAAGAAAGAAAAAAAGAAAGATCTTCAATAAAGATTAAAAAGATTTCAAGAAAGAGAAAAATAGAAAAAATACAAAGACATTTCGAGAAAAAATATAAAAAGCAAAAGAATGCTTCAAAATTCGAAGAGATGAAAAGAAAGTTTGTAAAAACTTAATAAAAAGAATGAAAAAATGTGTTAAACTCAACGAGCACGATTAAAATGAAGAATACAGGGGGAAAAACGATTAATGTCAGTAAAAGGAAAAGAAAAATACAAAGAATAGAAAATGAAATTAAGTTATAATTAAAACTGAACAATGCGAGAATGAATTAGAAAAATGAATGGGAAATTGAAAATTAAACAAAGTCAAACCGAACATTTATAAGTGGAAATATTAATTTATGCTAATAATAAGGGGAGATAATAAAGAAAAAATAAGAAAACGAAAGACAAAGGGCGAAAACGAGGAAAGTAGAAGAAAGAAAGAGAGAAAAAAAGAATATAGAGAAAGAGAGAGAGAGAGAGAGAGAGAGAGAGAGAGAGAGAATCTGGACTGAAAGACAAAAAAAAGATGATGGGAAAAGAAAATAAAATGAAATGGGAAAATAAAGAAAGAAAACGAAAAAGAAACAGAAACAAAACTAAAAGAGGAGAAAGGAAAGAAGCAAAAGTGAAAATGAACAACAAACCGAAAAGGTAAAAAAAGAAAACGACAAATCCGAAAAAAGGGTACGAAACAAAACGGAAAGTCAAAAAGAAAACGACAAAACCGAAAAAAGAAAAAAAAAAACCTAAATGGAAAAGATAAAAAAACAAAACCGTAAAGAAAAAAAAACAAAAAAAAAAACAGAGAAAAATAAATATTAAAAAAAAAAAGATGAAAGAAACAAAGAATGGAAAGTGTAAGTTATGAGAGAAAGAAAGTAAAAAATATTAAAAAATGAAGGAGAAAATAACCGATGACAGTAAAAAAAAAAAAAAGAGAGATAAAGACGAGGATGTTAAAGAAAATAAAAATATAATTTACAACGGAGATAAAATATGTGAGAGAAAAAAAAGAAGAATAAAGGGAAATTGAAGAAAATGAAGTAATAAAATAGAAAAAAAAAGCAAAGAATATATGAGAGAAAGATAAAAAAAAGAGAAGAAAAAATTAATTTCAAAATAAATTGTGAAAGATAGAAAAAGAGAAAGAAAAACAATTTAAAAAAAAAAACATTAAAAAGTAGAGAAAGAAACCAACGTGATTTTCTTTTACAAGTCGACAGTAATAAAAGAAAAATCCTGAAAGACAAAAATATATAATTAAACAGAGGAAGGAATAGAAAAAGAGTAAAAACGAAAATATCGAAGTTTCATATTATAAAAAATTGGAAGAATAGTCTGAAAGAAAAAATCGAAAGGAAGACAGCATTCTTTTTTTTTTTTTGAAAAGAAGTTATTAAAAGACATTAATCAAAATTTAAAATAAATCCTTAGCATTGAAAGTAAGCGAACATTTAAAATAATAACACCGGACTGAATACGAAAATAGTTATTTTCTTTAATTTCAAGAAAATAATTCCGAAAGAAAGAGAAAAAAAAAATAAAGATTTAAGAAAAAAAAAAAAGTAAAAAAGATTTCAATATTCAATTGCATAGAATGCAAAATTCTATGTGATATGACATAGAAATGGTGTTTTCAAGACGGAGTGAGGATGGGGACGAAATGTGCATTCACATGACGAAGTTGATTTTAAAAGTGGCACCCAAAATAAGACATCGATAGAAAGAATTAGCTAAAATGATACATTGTTTAGCATGACTTCAATTTTTCTCCCTCCCAGTTCGGATTAATTAAAGTAAAAAGAAGAAATCATAGTGAATTGTTTTTATCAACTGAACGTAGCTTAGTTTGACACAAGGCCATTTTTATTATGCGCCCAATCAGGATTCGCCTCATTATTCAAAAAAAGTAAAGGCCACACATTGAGGTATCCGATATATTAAAAAACTGATGTGGTTATTTTTATCTTAGCTAGGCACAAGGCCGCAAATATGACGCAACCATTGAGAATCAAAATCGATACTCGGTATTAATATTCAAATAGACTAACTGATGAAACTGGGTCCAATGAGCCGAATTCAAATTCTTATCAGGTCTGTTGCGTTTGCATTCGCTTTCGCACAGATTTTATTGGGAAGGCTTAACGCCATGCATTATCAGTCCAACGATAGATTAAATGACGAGGTAGACTGGTCTCCCAAAGTCTTGGTTGTCTTCCGGTCTACGTGAAGAAGTACTTTGAATTTCAAACCGAAAAGAAAACAGGAAAGTATTTCACTAACTTTCTAATGGCAGATAGAAACAAAACGAATGTGTGGAGAGCGATGTGAATTTCCCGAAGGAACATGGCAGTTAAAAATATCATCCCACGCCCTAAGTGTCCTCTTCTTATTTACTTAACCGTATTTTAGTTTGTGGCTTTTCCGAGGCGAAACGTGTGATCACGAAGATTTCGCCGGCACGCAATGGATATGCTAATTAATTTTAAGTTTGTGTCTGAATTTCCAAGAGGAGAATTTATCATTATTTTCGGCCTCACCCGCGCTATTTATAAGGTGTATTTCAGTCTGGGTAAGCTACAAGGAATTCTGAACTATATTCTTTATCAAACTACCGGAGGTAAACCGTTCTGGTCCGGTTGGCCATTTCTAGGGGTATTTCGCGTATTCCCTTTTTTTGTACTTCACAATTCTTTGCTTTTGGAACTTGCTGATTAGTTCTGCAGCTGTTGCCTGTCATGTCTGACTGATGCTGCTTCTTTGTTGAAAACTGTATTTATTATTGGCTGCCATATTATATTTTATTTCTGTACGGTGACTACTAAGGCGATCCTCATATCTTAGGATACGCACTTATTATTTCAGACATCTAACTCTCCAGTCGTTTTCCTTGTCCAGTAATTTTCATTTCCTTTCACAGTATGTGATGACTACACATTTTTCTCCATACATGATCAACCATGCCCGAATATATTGTCTTGCCCATCGCTACGAATTTCGATGTTAATTTTAACCTTATACGGCACCAAAAACTTGATATATAACAAACACCCATACTTTCATCAAAGCAGAGAAACGTTGAAAATGAAAAACTAACCTCAGATTACACCTCCATTTCAAAACTATAAATGAGTAAATCATTTCGTTGCGTAGTTAATTCAAACATCGCTTGAGGATGAAACAGTAAAACAGTTAAAGTTTAATATTGAAATTAAACATGAATACGTATGACCAGTTTCGAAACAGTAATTTCTGTGTCACGATGGAATCATATTTTAAAAAAATAATTACATATATATATATATATATATATATATATATATATATATATATATAGGAATAAAGTGCCGCTGCCAACACTTGAGTTTGAACATAGATCACCAGTGATTAAACACAGGCGATCCCATTATTGAATTAAGAACACCATATTTGGGAGGTATCGTGTTTTTAATTGATGTGCATTTCTTGCCTATAATCTAGTACTATACAATCGACATTTCTACTCTATCCGTTATTACTATACCGACCGCTAGTCTCTACTCTATTCACTATACTATTTCTCTACTCGGATCCCTATGCTGATTACTATTCGTGCAAGTACTATTAGTGCGGGTGTCATTAGAAGGCGTCTAACACCAGTATTGTTCAGCTGCGTTACTATAGTGGTATCTGCGATTACAAAGTCTCTAATACAACGAGCATTACGAAAGTGATAACGAGTATTTGTTGGCATTACAAAAGTGGTAACGATTTTTCCTTGACATCACAATATACATGCATATATATATATATATATATATATATATATGTGTGTGTGTGTGTGTGTGCGTGTTTCAACTTCCGGAAATGAAAAGTACGATGAACAAATATCAGAATAAATATTTTGGGAAGTTGTTCATTCCGAGGATTTGCGTCAACTTTCAACCAAAACACAGAAAACACACACACACACACACACACACACACACACACACACACACACACACACACACACACACACACACATATATATATATATAGAGAGAAAGAGACAGAGAGGGAGAGACAGAGAGAAAGAGTAATAGCCAAAATACATATAGATAAATCGATACGAACGTACATTGTATTTAATGCATGGAGATTATAATTATATGGAATATTATTATTATTTGTGTATGTTATATTTCCTGCTTTGTATCCTTTAGAGCCGCTTCCAAACTATGGTCCTCCTGCCTTATAGAACAATTGCCATTTATATTGATAGCACTTCTCTTAGTATATGGGAGGTTCCTGGTAGGGCGATCCTCTGGGTAACTTATATGTTGATGTTATCTGGGACACGGTTAGTAAAATTGATCATTCCTTTTCTCACAAGGCTGCAATTGGTACAGTCTCAGTCGCCATTTCCCACATCCTGTTAATCTCGCTTTTCAGCTCGTTGTATTTGGACAATTCTCGATAATTTTAGTGGTACTGCTATGTCGATAAGCATACACGTTCTAAATTTCTTGTCTTTTAGGATATCAGGGCCGTTGGCTTTATTTCCTTGTCAGTTTGGATTGGCATATCTCAGAGGATAGTTACACCGTTAACTTGGGTAACTGGGTCTAGTTGGTGATCAGACCATTTCTCAGCGGTACCCATTTTGTGCTTCTTGCATATCTTCCAGTGCACATATGTCGCTATTTTGCTATATCTGTGAGTATATTCTTTTTTTTTTTTTGGCTGAGATAATATGGTCGACAGTTTCATCATAATTTCTGCACTTCCTGAATTTCGAGTTAATTCCTTCCTTGATTATGTGCTAGCGATTGGATCTTGCTGCGCGGCTTAAAGGTCGAAGCTGCAATAATTAAGCTTTCTGTCTCAGTTTTCAAACCAGGGCTCTTCAGCCACTGATGTGTTTTCAGTTGGTCCACTACTGCTTCTTTCGTTTTTTTTTCCTGGTATTTTCCATGCAACGTCTTGTCCTCCGAGTTTGTTTGTAATTCTATTTGGCCAAGTTGTTTTGTTTTCTGTTTTACTCGTTTGGTGTAGATGCTATTCACTTATTTTTGGGTGCTACGATTTCAGGCATATTATGCAGTTTCTTGAAGAGTGCAGCTTCTTTGTTGATGGAGTGGATTTGCTGTTTTACTACTTGTAGGAGAGGGGCATTGGCTTTTGTGGGGTATACTTCCAATCCGATTGTTGTAGGTTTTAGAGTTCAAGTTTTATTAGACCTCGGCCTTCTAAAACTCTTGGTACGTACAGCCTATCAACATCTGATTTCGTGTGGTGCATCCTCATTTGGGTAAGCAGCTTTTTGGTCTTGGTGTCCAATGTTTTAATGCCATTGTTGTTATTATTATTATTATTATTATTATCTCTTTCTTGTCTAATTTTAGTCTTAATTTTTAGCAATTACTTTTAGCTATCGATGTTAATGTCTTTCTTTCAATCCGACATTAAACGGATAATTTATTATTTTTCGTGCTGAATGAAATTTAACAAACGTATTTTCTTCACTCAAAATCTTCTATCTTGTTAATTCAAATTGTATCTCTCTTTAATTCAAATTTTTCTTTCGCTTTTATCCAACTATTTTTCTCTCTCGTTTTAATTCGCTTTTATTCAATTATTTTTCTCTCTCTTTAATTCAATTTTTCTCTCTCTTTAATTCAGTTATTTTTCTCTCTCTTTAATTCCAACCTTTCTCTCTCTTTAATTCAGTTATTTTTCTCTCTCTTTAATTCCAACCTTTCTCTCTCTTTAATTCAGTTATTTTTCTCTCTCTTTAATTCCAACCTTTCTCTCTCTTTAATTCAGTTATTTTTCTCTCTCTTTAATTCCAACCTTTCTCTCTCTTTAATTCAGTTATTTTTCTCTCTCTTTAATTCCAACTTTTCTCTCTCTTTAATTCAGTTATTTTTCTCTCTTTAATTCCAACTTTTTTCTCTCTTTAATTCAGTTATTTTTCTCTCTTTAATTCCAACCTTTCTCTCTCTTTAATTCAGTTGTTTTTTCTCTCTTTAATTCCAACCTTTCTCTCTTTAATTCAGTTCTTTTTTTCTCTCTTTAATTCAGTTATTTTTCTCTCTCTTTAATTCCAACCTTTCTCTCTCTTTAATTCAGTTATTTTTCTCTCTCTTTAATTCAGTTATTTTTCTCTCTCTTTAATTCCAATCTTTCTCTCTCTTTAATTCCAACTTTTCTCTCTCTTTAATTCCAACCTTTCTCTCTCTTTAATTCCAATCTTTCTCTCTCTTTAATTCCAACCTTTCTCTCTCTTTAATTCCAATCTTTCTCTCTCTTTAATTCCAATTTTTTTCTCTCTGTAATTCAGTTATTTTTCTCTCTCTTTAATTCCAATCTTTCTCTCTCTTTAATTCAAATTTTTCTCTCTCTTTACTGAAAGAATTCCCCCTTTCATAAAATATTTGAACTCCTCCTTTTGTTTCTTTTTCTGTCATTTAAGTTCCTTTCCTATCTTATTCTTTTGTTCTTATTTTTAAAAATAAAACTCATTCATCTTTTCAGATTATATTTAATTCCTTTCTTCATCTCATTTGTTTTATTTATTTGAATCTATGTCCTTTTTAATCATTCTTAAAATCAAATGTAAAAAAAAAAAAAAAAAACTTCTACTTTTTATCTTCCGATCTATTTTAAAAATCGTATTCTTGATGTGTTTTCAATTTTATTTTTATATT